TTTGGGAACCTTCAGTGCAGCAGAAATATTTCTGTAGCCTTCCCCAGATCTGTGCCTTGCAATAATCTTGTCTCTGAGCTCTGCACTTTGACCTCATGGCTTCTGCTCTGATACAGTATGCATTGTCAGCTGTGAGGCCTTCTACTGAGAGGTGTGTGCCTTTCCAAATCATGTCCAATCAATTTAATTTACCACACGTGGACTCCAATCAAGGTGTAGAAACAGCTCAGCAATGATCAAGAGAAGTGGGAGGCACCTGAGCTAAATTTCAAGTGTTGTTGCAAAGGGTTTGAATACTTATGCCAATGTGATATTTCAGTTTTTCCTTTTTAATACATTTACAGACATTTCTAAAATTCTGTTTTCACTTAGTCATTATGGGGTACTGAGTGTAGATTAATTTCAAGTGTTGTTGCAAAGGGTTTGAATACTTATGCCAATGTGATATTTCAGTTTTTCCTTTTTAATACATTTACAGACATTTCTAAAATTCTGTTTTCACTTAGTCATTATGGGGTACTGAGTGTAGATTAATGAGAAAAAAATGAATTTGGACGATTGTAGTATCAGGCTACAACATCACAAAATTGAAAAAAGTGAAGGGGGTCTGAATACTTTCCGAATGCACTGTACATAGGAGAAATACATAATGGAATCAGTGGAATAATATACTAACCTCATGCAGCAACAGAAATTCATGGATGTCTGCTGTCTTGGGCCATAATTTTCACTGTTGCATTCTTTTAGGAATTCATGAAGATCTGTAACTGGGAACCCAGTTTGTTGGTATTTCTGAAATAGGAAGGTACAGAGTAATCTCTTAGGAAACAGTTTTACTCAGATTAATATATTCTGTCTGGACTTCCTATTTCTTGACTTATTGTGGGAAGGGGTCATGGTTTGTGAGGAGAGTTAGCATGTCAGCAGAGATCTGCAGCCTAAAATATATTGGTGGATTCAAATCCAGTGTTATTTATGCTGCTCATGGGGAGATAAAAGTGCTTTCTTCAACAACTTATCTTCTTATCTAATTCTGTTAGAGTACTTCACCTATTAGTTAATACAGACCGTAAATATTATTTCACTTGCTTGACAAGTATCATTCAACTTGCTTTCAGAGTTAGTTTGTTCTTCCTGAGAGTTGTACTACAGCAGTGTTGTCCAAACTTGGCCACTTTAAGATGAGTGGACTTCAACTCCCTGAATTCCCCA